ATCAACTAGAAATATAAACTAAACAGTACATAAGCTCTCTCAGCTCTTAAAATGTAATGCAAATCTAAACATCAACTAGAAATATAAACTAAACACCTGTGGATCAGAACTACTAAACATATATGACGGCGACTATGCTAAAAATCCATCAACTTGCGATTCTCCGAAACTCTGCTCCGCTACCTGAAAAGAAGTAAAAATCACAGTGTCAGAGCACTAGCAAGATCATCTCTATCCACCCCTAGGGGAAGGGATACTAGGTATGATGGAGGCTCTACCTATAAGTGCATAGTCTACCTAGTTTATCTACCCTGTACTAAACTAGGTTTAATACTTAAAAACTCACAACACGAGACTGGTACGTTGAGCAAAATAATCCAAACAAGAAAACCCTTATGTATATACCATATGTCTTAAATTGTGAATCACTAAATATTAACTCTTAAACTAAGAATAAATGAAAATAAGAAAGATAATACAGGAAATACTACATCATACATCTCTAAAAATATCATATCAACTCCTCATACTATCATTAGTGGGCAAAACTAATATTAATATACTATCTCGTGTAACTAAGTTGTGAAATACCTTCACAATGGATTATATCGATGATGTCAATGTTCACCTACACTTAGGTTATTTATCAAATCATTCTTCTCTGAAACTCTTCAACCCATCGCACCCTCGTACGGACTGGTAAAATAGATATATCAAATCATTGCACTCCCGTGCTAACCAATAACTAGATATACAAGTTCATCGCACTCCCGTGTAGACTGATAACTAACTATGTCAATTCATCGCACTCCAATGCGGATCGGTAACTAAGTATAATAACTCATTGCATAACCATGAGGACCGATAGTTAGGTATATCAACCTCTACGCATCTCCGTAAGGACCGATAAGGAGTATAGTCCATCTACAGTCTCATTGTAGGACCCGACTAAAGCACACAAAGTGTAGTCCATCCGCGGTCTCATTGCGGGACCCGACTAAACCCCACCCAACCGTTCATAACTATAATGTATATACTATATTAATCATTACTCTTAATGATTGTAACCTATTTGGATATTCCATACAAAGTAATCAAGCGTACTTGAACCCCGTACGTGTACTCCTCGAACCACATGTGAATATCAGCTCACGAAATTCAACTTGATCTGCTGACCGACAACCTCATCGGTCAACTGATAAGGTCGCTCAAACAACAGGGGAAACACGTCGTCAGTCAACTGAAGATTTGGCATCAGTCGACTAATTGTGTCAGTCGACTGATGGACATCATCAGTCGACTGATCAAACCAAATTTGCACAGGTTGGGTTTTTCAACTTTTTTTTTAACTCAGGTTTTTGTTAACTTAGATGATTAAAACTCGATTCCATTATCATGAATACTTAACCTGGAGTTTGCTTAAATAAGAAGAAACACGTGAACACATAGATCTAGGATTTAACATGCAAAACAACCTAATTCTTATTTATTTCGACAATCTAATGCATATAAACTATATTAAACAATAATTAACTCTTTAAAATAAACCCTAATGATCATGATCATATCAATATCTCAGTTTCAAATTCATTCTACTATTCTTGACATAAGATTTAATCATAAACATCACTTGCAACATGTTTAGCATTAGATTTAAACCCTAAACATAATGTTAAACATATAAATCTCTTAAAAACATAATTTTCATTCAAGGGAAAGGTTTGGACAGAGATGATCTTGACTTTGCATGTGTACAAGCCTCTGAAAAGAACAACAAGTGATTACCCAGTCGCCAAACACCGAAAATCCCGACTTTTCCTCGATGTTCTCCTCACAAACTCTCCCAAAAACTCAACTTTAGGGCTAGGGTTTGAGAGGGAGGAAGAGAGGCTGCTAGGCTTTGAAACTCTAATGTAAAGATGATAATTTTCATGAAAACATATATATATATATATATATATATATATATATGAGAATACTGTGGGTACGCTGGCAGCTCACGTTTTTTGTGCGCTGCAGGGAGTTTTTTGAAAAATTTCCCTGTCTCTTCCACCACAAAAGCAATCTCGTGACCCAAAAAAATCACTGGACCTCAAATCTCCTCAGCCCCAAATCGCTCTCTCCCAGCTCTCTCCCCAGCGATTATCCCCTCTCCCCCCTTCAATCCCTCAGCTCTCACCCAGCGATTAACCCATCTCCCCCTTCAATCCCTCTCCCCCCTTCCCCCGATTCGACCACGAAACCGCCGACCAAGAGAGGCGGACAGCTCCTTCGACCACGAGATTTGCCGCTCTCCCAGCGATTAACCCATCTCCCCCCTTCAATCCCTCTCCCCCCTTCCCCCGATTCGACCACGAAACCGCCGACCAAGAGAGGCGGACAGCTCCTTCGACCACGAGATTTGCCGCTCTCCCAGCGATTAACCCATCTCCCCCCTTCAATCCCTCTCCCCCCTTCCCCCGATTCGACCACGAAACCGCCGCGACCACGATCTGGACAGCTCCTTCGACCACGAGATCTGGACAGCTCCTCTCGACTCCTCCGACGCGAGCACCGACCCCTCTCTTTGAATCGGTTCTCAGGTGAAATCCCCCTTCTTTGATTGCCTATTTTTGTTAATTTAGTTTTTTTACCTCCAATATGAAAAAGTTTGGATTTTGATCTCTTTTTGTTAAACCGTGCTCATATTAAAATTAAACTAGGGTAGATTAACATTATCCAGGTTCTTTGATTGCCAATTTTTGTTAATTTAGCAAGTTGATTATATTACAGGCATAGGTATCAACAGAAACAATGAAGAGTTAAATTGAAGAGTTAAATAAGTACTTTATTAATTCTCTGGATTGCGATAAATTTCTATCTGGAAATGCTTCTGAAGAGAGATGCACTGCTTCCATTCTTGGGGAGCTGATTTCAGCACTTACGTTCAAACAAGAAGATACTTCGTCTTGTGGCTTTGTGAATACCTCTGACCACATTGTCTCAGATGGTGATATGGTTAAAACAAATGAAAAATCTCAGGTCAATTATTATACCTCTGACCACATTGTCTCAGATGGTGATATGGTTAAAACAAATGAAAAATCTCAGGTCAATTATTCTAGAAGCTGATAATCATAGGTTTCATTTGATCTCATTTAGTTATGCACAACTTATTGTTACTCTATGTAAATTATTGTAAAAACTCTTTCTTGCCATGGACCACCTAAAAAATTGTGGTTTAAAAAGAAATCACAGGGTTAAATTGGGAGAACTTCCACATCGTTTTTTACTGTGATTTCTTTTTAAACCACAATTTTTTAGGTGGTCCATGGCAAGAAAGAGTTTTTACATTGTGAAGAGAGGTCGACGATGTGGAATTTTTAATAATTGGGAGGACTGTAAAAAGCAAGTTGATAAATACCCAAATGCTGCATATAAAGGGTATGCAACGTACGAAGAGGCTTTGGTTGAATGGGATAAACACAGCATCGCTTGTGATTCAGCATCCAGCTCAAGGCATGTCCAAACACCTTTTTATGTCCCGACACCTGATTCTGCATCGAGCTCAAGAACTACTATTTCCCCTATCTATGCTTTTGCATTAGGTTCAGTGTTTACAATATTAGTGTTTGTACTCAAGAACTACTATTTCCCCTATCTATGCTTTTGCATTAGGTTCAGTGTTTACAATATTAGTGTTTGTAATATTAGTGTTTGTAATATGTATCGTTGTCGTATTTTTTTTTCTATATTGCAAAAATTATGTGATTGTGAGAACTTATGTATCGAGTAACTTATGTGATTGTGAGATTGTGAGAACTTATGTATCTTGTGAGAACTTATGTGATTGTGAGAACTTATGTATCTAGTGTGATTGTGAGAACTTATGTATCTTGTAAGTACATATTGTGTATCTGGTGTTATTGAGTTGTTGTTATGCATAGGTTAGTGGAAATGAATATTGAAGTTGTGAGTATATATTTTTTCCAACTGGAAACATGCTTGTAATTGAACCGAGGGAAACACAAAAGACAGTGAATGTTGTTTCACTTTTTCACCTGTATTCATCACTTACTTTTGTTTTATCAGGAATTCTGCATTTATTTTGTTCATGATGCCTTTTCTTTTCTTTATAATCCTCTTTGCTCTGGTTTGTAATAGGTGCATCAGTACAAGGTTTGATAGGTGGTATCAACAAGGAACCTGGTTTGAGTTTTTTTTGAGCAACAATATACTTACAGAAGTACTAATCCTGAAGGAGGAATCTCTTCACTGTCCTACTAGAATATTCTTTCAAGCATTTCGGCTAAGAATGAAGAATGGCATACTTATATATTTTTTGTCAATCTCATTGGCTTTTGTTGGCGATTAATAGTGATTAGTATGAGACCAGATTCCTTTTGAAGTGGAACATGCCAGGATTTTAAGAACAGGCAAAGGCCTAAATCTTGGTTCAAGTATCTATGCAACTGAATTTGCTTCTTCTGATTGGTTGTGAAAGTCTCATTGCCAATGGTGCACATAGTTATGTAACTGAGTTTGCTAGATGCTGATTAGAGTGAAATGTTTCACTGCTCCGCATGAATCTTACTATCTCTTTAGCTGATAATCAAAGAAACAACAGAGGAGATTGTCTGTTGGTATGAACTAATGGGAAATTTGAGAGAAGATGACATGAGAAAGAGAACATGTCATAGGAAAGATAAATACTTGACATAGAAAATATTTTCCTTCTCAATCTGTTAGCTTTGCTGTTAACAAGCAATTCTGTTTGATAGGTGATTAGTAAGGTGCATCAGTACAATGAGGTTCTCACAAGATTTGATAGGTCTGACGCATAAAGAATTCTGTTTTTCTAAGCCATTGCTGTTATGCACAACCTATGGTGTCATAAAGAATTCTGTTTTTCTAAGTGTACTGTTACCCATCAACAAAACGTACTGTTACCCATCAACAAAACAGAATCAGTCTTAACACAATCAGTCTTAATACATAAAATATAGTAATGAGAGGTCTTGTACAAAATGCGCATCACTTGAATCAGTTCTGCTCATGGATTGCTTGAGGGGCCAAGGCAGAGTTGTGGATGAACCTGAGCTGATTGTGCTCTTTCCTGTGTTAGTGGTAGCGCTGTAAGAGAAACACATGCACAATCAAATAAATTGTTTGTTAAAAGTTAAAAACAGAGTAAATAAAGCGCTGTTAAAGATTGATACACAAAAATGCAAGCAATCATACGTACATTAATCATGAGATATGACTTTGTGAACAAACCAACACATCCACCACCCGTGCATATGTTTAGCTGCAAATTATATGACAAATTAATCATGAGATATGACTTTGTGCTATCAAGTTTCATAAACTTATATAGGGCTAAAACTGAATAGAAACGAAAATGGTACCTTTGCAAGTTAACTTTACAGCTAGTTCTATAATGCCCGAGTTCACCACATCTGCTACATATGCGTTTCTTCCTTTCTTTCTTTTCTTGTGCCTGTTCTAAACCTGACTGGATTCTAGTAGCATTGCGTGGACGACCTTTTGTCCTTGCAGGTCTATCAGGATCACGAACTGTTATCTGAGGAATGTTCTCTATTGTATGTGAAATGGGTGCGGAAGGTTGAGGAATGTCCATCATTCCGAACTCTACACTATTTGAATTTGTTTCCTCCATTCCAAACTCCTAAAGAAGAAAATAAATTTCAATGTAAAGCAAGGAATGAGATGATATGACTAGCATCAAAGCTTGTAAATAAACCCTGTTTTTAACAAGGTCAGTTAGATTGTGAGTTGATAGCAATAATTAATATTCATTTACAGATCGAGAGGCTACAAATGGTTAACTGTAGCTAGCTAGCTTCAAATTGTTTTCTTTTTAATCGATCATATAACTGTCAGCGAGATCACGACCCATTTTTTTTTTAAATTTTCATTTGGTAACAAATTAATAAGTTCACAAACTAAGCAAAAGCCACAAATCCAAACTTTTATGCTAAATTAATAACCTATGACTGTTATATTTTCATATTGGAGGTAAAAAAAACTAAATTAGCAAAATAGGCAATCAAAGAAGGGGGATTTCACCTGAGAACCGATTCAAAGAGAGGGGTCGGTGCTCGCGTTGGAGGAGTCGAGAGGAGCTGCCCAGATCTCGTGGTCGAAGGAGCTGTCCAAATCGTGGTCGCGGCGGTTTCGTGGTCGAATCGGGGGAAGGGGGGAGAGGGATTGAAGGGGTTGATCGCTGGGAGAGAGCTGAGGGATTCAGTGTGTCGCTGGGGAGAGCACTGGGAGATCGCGATTTGGGGCTGAGGCGATTTGGGGCTGAGCGATTTGGGGGAGAGAGAAGGGGTTGATCGCTGGGGGAGAGCTGAGGGATTCAGTGTGTCGCTGGGGAGAGAGCTGGGAGATCGAGATCACGATTTGGGGCTTCACGATTTGGGGCTGAGGCGATTTGGGGCTGAGCGATTTGGGGGAGTATATATATATATATATATATATATATATATATATATATATATATATATGCAAACCCGAAATAAACTCGTTTGACCCGAACCAAGAAACCTAGTCTGACTGAGAAATTAACCTTATGTATTTTAGCTGTAACTTTCTCATCCAATATTAGAATAAGTTTATGTAAGATTTGTTGGAAATCTATTGAATATACCTACAACTTTGATATTTTGAGTTTTTCCATATTCAAACTGCATCGGTGTGTAAAATATATAAACCCTTAACTGATCATTTTTCCAGATTTCTCTTCGTGCATGTTTTGTGCATTTGCACTCATATATTCACAAATATACAATGAATTAATCTCAAATCAATTCTTATCATACTCAAACATTAAAATATATTATTTTTCACCAGATAGCATATTTTTCACATAATATTTAAATTTTCGGGGTTTTACAAAAGAGGTCGAGTGAAGACGTCTTTCGACTCAACCTGCTGAATGATGACACATTCAGGTTGGGCTGATGTCTAGTTAAATGAGACACGTGTAACTTTCTCGAGTGAGATCTATACTTGGTGAATTCTACTACATAACACCAACTATGAAATGCTTAACTTCATGAATGTCTTCTAATGCTATGACCAAATCAAGATGGTGGAGTAACACAAACAAAAAACCTCTTTGATCTAGGATCTGGGTATTTATTACTGTAAAGTAATGTCATTTGGTTTCAAGAATGCATGGGCAACTTACAAAAGGTTAATCAACAATATCTTTAATGATCAATCCAGTCATAACATGGAGGTGTATGTGGATGATATCATAGTGAAATTCAAACATATTGACTCCCATATTATGGATATTGAAGAAGCCCTCTCCATTCTTCACCGATATCAGATGAAGCTCAACCCTGTGAAGTGTCTTTAGTGTGCGGTTGGGTCAAATTCCTCAGATTCATGATAATCTAGTGAGGAACTAAATTAACCTAGAGAAGATAGCTACAATTGAGGGGATGTCCGAGCCTTAAACAATGAAGGACATTCAAAAACTGAACAAGAGGTTAGCGGCTTTGAGGCATTTCCTTTCCAAATCGGTTGAGAGAAGCCTTCCATTCTTCAATATCCTAAGAGAAGGCTAAAGGACCCATGGATAACATCTTGTAGATGGCAGAGAGCAGCTACGCTTTCATATCTCAAGAGGTATCGGACCTCCAACCCTTGTTGATCAACCCCATAGAAGGGGAACAACTCAACCTTTACCTATCCATCTCAGCAGAAGCTGTAAACTAAATCTTGGTCCGAGAATAAGAGAATGTCCAAAATCCAATCTACTACGTCTGCCACATCCTGAAGGCAGCCAAACTCAACTACATTCTCATTGAGAAAGCTTCTTTTACTCTTATCACCATGGCAAGAAGGCTCCACCCATATTTCTAGGCCCACACATTAATAATATGGACAAATTTACCTTTGAAAAAGAGCACTCGGCAGACCCACCACTTCTAGGTGAATGACAAATTGGGCCATCGAACTTAATGAATATGATGTTTAGTTTGAGCCCAAGACAACCATAAAGGCCTAGGTCCTTGCCAACTTTCTAATCGAGTCACATGGAAGATGGCCAACCAGCTTAGAATATGCTCCACTCCTGGTCCTAAAGCTGGTCAAAAAGACCCCATCCTAGAAAAACAGTAGCCCCAAATATGATCTACCAGAATTTACATCATGGTGGTTGCTGAAAGTAGACAAATCCTCTAGAGAAAGTGGTCAGAGTAGGAGTACTATTGTGTAGCCAGGTAGGATACTTCCATTACCATGCAATCACCTTCAATTTTCCAAACTCGAACAATGAAAGAAAATGTGAAGCTCTTCTAGCCGACTTTCAAAGCCACTCTATCAGCTAAGGTGGAGTCTATTTTAGAACTGAGCAGGTGCCAAGTGCCCACAACGCCCGTGCGGATGCTCTATCCAAGCTGGGCTCCTTGAGCTTAGGGGTAGGATAGGGACAAGTATACACGAATACCTTCAGGTAACCCAGCATTACCAAAGCAATGGCAGACTATCATGCAAATAGACCCGCAACTAAAACCATGCTGGATGGATCCACTCATCCAGTATCTAATAAAGAGGACCCTACCCAAAGACCAAGCGGAAGCTAGAAGCTTGCAGAGGAATGCCTTGAAATATCTCATGATTGAAGATCAACTCTACTGACTCTCCTACACAAGCAGCAGCAGCATGAGGCCTTATCTCCAGTGCCTTCAACTTGAATAGTCAGACTATATCTTAAGATAAATTCAAGGGAATATGCAAAAACCACATAAGGGCTAGAAACCTAGCATGGAAAGTCATCAGGTAGAACTACTACTAGCCAACCATTCTGGCTAAGTCAAAAAAGCTCATAATCCAGTGCAAAGCTTACTAATTCTTCTCAAACATCCCACAAGCTCTGGCAACTGAGCTCACTCCTCTCATTAACTTGATTTCTTTTGCTCAGTGGGGACTAGATTTGCTGGGACCATTTCCAATAGCAAATGATCAGCAAAAATTCTTAATTGTGGTTATAGACTACTTCATCAAATGATTAGAAACAAAGATATTAGAAAAAATAATATCCATAACTTATCTAAAAATCGGCCACCTAGCTGGTAACCATCATAACTGACAACAACACTCAATTCGACAGCAAAGGATTCTGCAACTTTTGTGAAGAATAGAAAATCCACCTCAAGTTTGCATCAATAGCACACCCCCAAGGTCTAGCAGAAGCAGCAAACAAGTGCATACTACAAGAATAAAAGAAGAGGGTAGACCAAGCAGTATAGGGCCTGGGTTGACGAACTCCATGGTATTTTTTCATCATACAGAACAACTCACAAAAATTCTATACGTGAAACACCATTCCGACTGACATACAGAGGGAAAGCGATCATCTAGGCAGAAGTCAACATGCCTACCATGCAATTGCAACACTTAAACAAAGAAGACAATCAAATCAGCCTAAGAGTGGACTCAATCTCGTGGACAAAACAAGAGAGCAAGCATTTTGACCTCTGATTATCAGTCAGCAACATGTTGCCCGATACTACAATAGCCAAATTCAATCCTGAAGGTTCAAAATAGGAGATCTGGTCCTCCTAAAGGCTATCTTCAACAAAGAAACTAACTGTGGAAAGCTCGCCGCCAACTAGGAGGGACTCTACAATATCATAAGGGAAGTCTACTCGAAAACTTACTGATTGTAGAATCAAGATAGGGAAGTCTTGAAGAATCTTTGGAATGTAGAACATCTAAGGAAATATTTCCAATCAATGTAATCGAAAGACCCCCATATTAATGAAAAGAAAAGTTGCCTTATCTTTCTCCATAATCTCGTGCAAAGAACCAAAAAATCTTCGTATCGGTTTTCAAGAGTAAACCCAAGGCACTAACCTTATGACTCGGTCTTCATTGACTCGTCCAAAGCACTAAAAGACCTCAATAGTTTTCAAGAGTAAACCTAAGGCACTAACCTTGCAACTTGGTCTTCATCGGCTCATTCTAGTCACTCAAAGTCCTTAGCATCGGATTTCAAGTGTAAACCAAAGCACTAACCTTATAACTCAGTCTTCACTGACTAGTCCAAGGCAATCAAAGACCTATCGGTTTTCAAGCATAAAACCAAGACACAACGAAAATCCCTTACGACTCACTCTTCACCAACTCATCCAAAGGTTGCTCAAAGCCCTTGGTATTGAACTTCAAAAATAAATATAAGGCACGCAGTGAGGAACAACTCAAAACAAAATCATGAAAATACTTAATTCATGCCAAAATAAGTCTTTTCATTAACTTGCAAAAAATTGTAGGACATTTTATCATGACTCAATGAAAAAATTAGAAGAAAATCACGGAGCAGTAGCAGAGGATGAGGTCCCTAGTTGGTCAGATGGTGAAGGATAGATGTCTTCCTCACTAGAGTCCTCCTCGATCGAGCCCTAATCTGATTTGCCATGTGCCTCCCCACTTTCCTATCACGCCCCGCTTCCCAAAATACTAAGGAATCAGAACGCGAATAAGTCCG